AGGGAAAGAAAAAGAGGGGTAAAGAGAGGAAGGGAGAGTGAAAGAGAGAGAGAGGAGGGAGGGAGAGAGAAAGGTAGCTGACGGCTGCACTCAGCGTATTCTAGAGCGTATCCAATGGTAGTGATGCGCAGGTTGAAGAAGGTCGGAAGGTTACGAGAGCGCAGTCGCGCGAAAGCAGCGAGGATACCACCCGGCACAGTATCGGAGTACCGGGCCAGAGCTAGCTCGCCCGCATTGCCGTATTCGTCTACCAGCGTGTCAAGTCTATTCGACGAGAGCCACTTAGGGAAACGCAACATTCGGGGATCGGGGTGTCACGTCGTCGACTTCGCGGCCTCGCGAGGGAGTTCCGATCTCGACGGCCGTCGGCTTTCGTCGAAGGGAATCAGCGCAGCCCCTACGTCGCCGATTCGGAGAAACTACGGTTTTCCCGCGCTCGGCACGAAGGCGACTTTCACCTGTTAGACGCCACTCTCGCCCTCTCTTTCTCTTTCTCTTTCGACGCGACCTGTTTGCACGTAAGTAGCGCAATTTTAGAGATCGATTTGCGTTTCTTTGAGGATCGACGACGCGTACACATATACGTATATATGTATACACACACACACATCCACACATTCTCGCCCACCTGTCGACGAGTTTGCGGATTTTTCAAAACACAATCGGATAAATATATGGATCTTTGAAACCATCGGGAATGCGCACGAGCGTGTGCATAAATATGAATGAACGTAGAGTGTGTGAATGGGAGAATTGCAATTAAGTATGAGCGTTCTTTTTTTTTATCTTTAAGTGTAACTTGGCATAATTGATATTAAATATAAAAACATAATTGATATTGACGATATGAATATTACATGTATACTGACTTTATTTTAATAAAATTTCTCAATTTTCACCAAATATATTATAATTGTTAACTAGTTGTTACTTTAATAGTATATATTGATTCTGTTTTATTTCTTTCAAACACTGTTGCAGAAAGTTAGTAAATCGTAGCAAAAGTTTTAAATGTCAGCAACTTCTAATGCTTTTATTATTTTAATAACAATATGCTAATATGATTACTTGAAATAATTGTTATTTAGCAATCTAAACAAAAGAAACTGAATATATACATAATTTCTTATGAATATTTATGAACATTTA